TAATTTAAACAGAAGAAATTGTGCACTCCGTGAAAGGAAGAAATTGCTTTTTGTGTGATATTTTTGGTCCAACATTGACTAGTTCAAGATAATTACATTTCTTTCCATCCCTCCCTGAAACTTATAGTGGGAGCAGCAGAGTTTTGGTGGAAAAGCAGGTTGTTGTTAATGGTGTTTTTGAAAACTCAATTTTAACTCTATGGTGATATTTTGGCGTACTTCTGAAAAATGTGGACTTCTGAAATTCCATGATATATCTAAATATGAAAATTTGTAGTTAGAGAGAAAGACATATCACAGATCATCTGTCAAAATTGGCAAGATTAGTATCTTCACATACTGTATGTGGCCATTGAAGAATATGACAAATAAAATTCATAAATTGAATGAAGTCCAGAACATGATCCAAAATGCCCCATACACAATATTGTTAAATTGACTGATGGTTCTTTGCCTTCCCCTATGGCAGGGGTCGGAATTAGCGGCTCGCGAGCCGCATGCGGCTCTTTGCATAGACGTTTGCGGCTCTTCGGAAATAAACTCCAATTTCATCTCACCTCATTTCACTGCAGCCTTATAATTTATGAGTTTATGAGATAGTGCCGCTGAACAAACTTCGACTTGTTCTCCGTCCGCACATAACCACACTCACGTTGATCAATATGAGTCGCATAAGAGTGGTAGCAGTTGAAGCACATCTATATATTTAACCAAATGTCACACAGGTCAAAAAAAATAGGGAGGGTTGTGTACTGGATACTGCTGTCATTTTCAGTGCTCACGCACAACTGCTACCCCTCTCTCACAGCTGACCACTCCAACTACCTTCCATTTTAAATATGGATGTAAATGTTCTATCCAATAAAATTTAAATCATTAGATTATCAGTTTACAAGATATAAGCACAACAAATCTTGCCATTTATTTGGTCACTCCAATTTTCTTAGACCTCCCTATACTAAACCGAATTTAAAGACATGTTTGGATCAAAATGGAGCAAGCGCAACACAGATTCCATGGTATTTGCAGATTCTAACTTTTGATGCCATTTTCTGACTTTTTCTGCTAAAAATCTTATTTCCTGACTTTTCATGATCTTCCCAGGTCTGTACAGGTGTTGTCCATAAAACTGATTACTGAGAAAAGCTGTGATTTTCAACATGAATCATATAAATTTACAATATTTATTAATTTATGTTTGATTGTTTATTTGTATATGGGAATGCTACTTGCTGCTGAGGGGATGCCCCAGGAGAACTCTCTACAGGAAACCACCCCCTAATTAGGTGTTACAAACATGAAGAAAACCCAGAAAACACCATATGGCCAACCCCTTGGTGAAGCACAAACCCACAACAGACTAATGGTGTACAATGTTTTATCCGTTTGGCCACTACAGTAGATCCCCCTATAAAAGCATTTCCTATAGTTATGATTCCTATAAAAATTGTGGCATTATCCGTAAACAACGGTAAAAATAACTCCTATAATACGTAAAACGTCATCGGGCAGCCGAACTACTTACCCGCCGTCCGTAGCGCCACGCTACGGAGAGATTTCTATCGTCTGGACAGTATTATATAAATTATATATAAATTAGGTACTGTACATATAATTATATATTAATTATATATAAATTAGGTACTGTATATATAATTATATATTAACTTAATTTATTGTAACTTTATTATAATTAAATATATATTTTTCGCCGTCTAGCGTCACGCTACGGCGAGTTAGGCGACCTATCGTCTGTTCAGTACTGTAATTTTATACATTTCTTGTGAAAGAAACATTTCTTATTCAACGGCCATAAAAATTATTTATATTAATGATGTCTCCAAAGGTCAACGAAGTTTTCGCAGAAAAATAATATCAGAAATCGCGGCCGCGGTTTGATGCGCTGTTCCGCGACGAAACCAAGCTTTAGCAACGGGCGTAGTCGAACGGTACACACTCGGTAAGCAATCCTACAATTTTTTGTTTATAACGTAGTTTATACGGATTATTTTCAAAAAAATATACGTATTTTGGAAATGTTGAGTCGAATTACTCTAGAATCGATTAATTTTATGAAAGAAAACCTTTCAAACAGCCGTAGTCCGTAAACTATGATTCCTACAAAATTGATTCATAAAGAACGGAACGTATCTACCGTCTTATAGGGGGATCTACTGTAGTGGACTACTAATTTAGGATTTATCTGCCTTCAAATAGCAATATAGAAAAAGCAACGTTTGGAAAATGACAAAGTAAGATATCCAACAGGATATCAATTATATTTCATCTATCACTGATACCACATAGCATCTAAGTACTGTAATATGTATGAAATTATCACAATTCAATTGAAAAGATTCAAAGATGTTGCAGAATGTTTATCAATTCAATAAAAATGTCTTATCATCTTTTGTAATATAAAAAAATAAATCATAATTGATGAAACATGCCAGAAATTTATCACAAACATTATTTAGCTATGTTAAATGTTTATTATAAGTTTTTGATTTTGATATCTATATTTTATAATGAATTAACAAAATTAGGTAGTGAATGAACAATGAATTTCACCTTCAGAAGAATTTAAATTTACAAATATACTCTAACAGAATAAAAAAGGAAAAATTAAAAGTGTCTTTTGTAAATACTTTAAACCCTTCTGAAGACAAAAAGCATTTTATTATAACATTAAAAATATCAGTTTTTAAACTAATATTTGTGTTATGTTTATAGTGTATACAGTGATTTATGATTAATATATTAAATTTTCATTTAATATTCTGTTAAAATATTACATACAAACCTACTTTTCCTGTTTTATGAACAGTTCCAAGCTACATGTATCAGGTGATGTTTAGAAACATGCAATAAAGAAAGTTCTTTCTATAATAAATAAAAATCTTTAAGATAATTATAAATTAGATTTGTTTCTAATAAAGCATACATCAGTATCCATCAATTTAAGTAAATAAATTACAAAATTCATAAAAGCTTAGAAAAAACTATAATAGCTTGATTATAAAAATATCATATTATATATATATTATTGTATCAGTGAAGAAATGACAAAACCTCTCCCCCTTCATATTTCTGGCATGGCATTTAATGGTTATTTACTGACAATCATATCATGCTGCATTCAGAAGTATTATACACAGAAGATTACACAAAACTGCTTCTTAAGGTAACCAACTTATTTCATTATCCTAAAGATGTTTTTGACTCTCTTTGAGCCCTTGTCAAGTGCATGATATGCTTCTACAATACATATCAACATCCCAAAGACCAATGTATTGATACTAAGACAAACAATTACTGTAAATAATCAGGCTATTATTATGCTATAATTAATAATTAGAAACTAAGTAATTTGGTACTAGAAGTAGATGTTAGGAGCCATCTCTTATCTAAATTAATATTTATAATAATTTAATAATTTCTTAAATAATTTAGAACATTCTGGAAGAAAAGAACTATCCCAGAGTGGGACTTGAGCCCAAAATTGTTATTATCCCAAGAATAGACTTTAGTAGTTGGCCTTTTGGTCAATTTTGTTTCAAATGAATGTAGATATTAAACTGTTACAAATGTTTATAATGTAGTAAGAAGAGACAAGTTTGACAAGAATATTTAAATTACGGTAAAAGTATAAATAAATATTTAAAGAATACCCATAAATACTGAATGAAGTTGGCACCATTTTATTAATAATTAAAACAAGCCCTCATGCAAAGGACTATAACATTCCTCATTGTTAAAACACTAAAGAGGAAGTCTCCTTACACCATCAAAATTGCACTAATGCAGGGCTTTCCTCCACAGAATATTTTTGTTCCCCCCCTTTTTGACTTTCTGGATTCGGGAGGTCTCAAAACATGGAGATTTGCAAAAATCTAAGGATCAAATTTGACACAACTCCAAATACTTTCCCTTGTTATGTATACATAACAGCCAGGAAAGTAAAAGTAAAAATATAATTTTAATATTATGGTTATCTGGGGTATAATAAACAAATATTAATATAATTATTTTCACACAGAGATAGCAAAAAACATTAAGTGTCTTTAAAATTAAACATTGTATGTAGGCAGTTTTTTCAACCTTCAATGGTCCATAAAACAAAGACAAGAGTAAATAACAAAATGAATTTATTACCAAACCTTAGGTACAAACATGGTTACTTTTCAACATAATCACTGTGAAGATTGAGGCATTTTTCATATCTGTGGATGAGCTTTGCAAATCCCCTCTTCATAGAATGTTGCCTCCAGTGACTTGAGATGGGCCTTAACGTTGTTTTGAAGATCGTCATTAGTCTCGAACCTCTGCCCTCTTAGCCATGTTTTCAGTTTAGGAAAGAGGTGGGAATCATGCCAAATCAGGGCTATACGCTGGGTGTTTAAAGGCGATGAAGACTTCTACCTTTCAGACATCCACCCAGCTTGAAACTTTTTAATGTGTGAAGACTTCCATCTCCTTTCTGAACTGAAAACGTAGCTAGCAGGGCAGAGGTTTGAGACTAATGACGATCTTCAAAACACTGTTGTTAAGACCATCTCAATTCACTGGTGGCAACATTCTATGAAGAGGGGATTGAATAGCTAGTCCACAGATATGACAAATGCTTCAATCTTCACGGTGATTATGTCAAAAAGTAACCATGTTTGTACCTAACTTTTGGTAATAAATTCATTTTGTTATTTACGCTTGTCTTTGTTTTATGGACTAACACAGGTTGAAAAAAAAAAGCCCTTGTAGAATTTAAGAGTGATATTAAGAAAGAACTATATTCAAACTGGAACACAAAGATGAAGATGTTTATATTTTTTTTTTTAAATTTGATTAATAGCACTTGATAATGAACTCTACATTCTATTTTGGATAATTGAAGCCAAAGCTGTTCTTAAAAAAGAACAAAAACATTTCCAAATAATAAAAAATAGGATTCCTTAACCAAGCAGTAAAATTATTATTTAAGAACATTTTTGTTTTTTACTTACTGCCTTTGCCACTTTCCTGTAAGAGGATTAAAGAATCCTTTCGGCAACGGCGGTTCGCCACGAAGCCTCCGCTGATGATTTCTTCCATTATAATGCTGTTTTGCTTGAATATCAGAAGTAAATGCAACATCACACAATTTACAATAAACTTCTAACGGTTTCGAATTCTTTTTGTCTTTCTATCAAATAACAATTCAAAATTAATTAGAAAAAATTCAGATATCAATTTCAGTTCAATTAATGATTTTAAAATACTATATTTATTAATACATATGTTTTGTCTAACTTTAAGGCATTTTTAAACTGAATTACAATCTTCTACATGAAAACCCATCAAATTCTATATTTTAGGATTGAAACTTTAGAAAATTATCTGTTATTATTAAATTTAATTTATATTATTGAAATCATTGATATATTTTTAACTGAATAAAGTGAAATATGCTTGTTTCTGAATGTTTATATTTGAATAGTCTTTGATAAATTAATAACAGTTTGATTTTGTTTTTAATTTAAAAAAAAAATTATTATTTTTGAAAGCATTTTCTTAAGAAAAGCTTTAAAATTTAAAACAGCTCCAGATAAAAAGTAAAAATATTAAGTTAAAAAAGTTTCTTTAAAGATTGTCATTATTAAAATAAAATTCCAGATAATTCTTAATACAGTAGAGCATCGATTATCCGACCCCCGATCAACCGTCACATCAGTTAACCGACCACGTTCTAGTCGGCAAATTCAAATGTCTGCTAGTGATGTGGCGCTACAATATTTGGCTATGTCTTGGTTACTTTAATATTATTTTTATATGTTTTAGCTGGCAACACTGGCTAGACCATGAAAGGGAGCCAGTATTTAAACGAGGCTTAATTTTCTAGTTTTTAATGATACAGTAGCGACGATTATTATCTTAAAAAAATTTTTGTTAGGCTTAACATCGATGAAAATTCAATGCGAAGTAGGTTAATAGTGATATACTAATTACATGGGATATACTAATATACAAGGGGTGGCCAACCTGCGGCTCGCGAGCCACATGCGGCTCTTTGAAAGATTATTTGTGGCTCTCGATAAACATACCCAAGTTCCCTTTTCATTTTTGTGTTGTTATATTTTTAAAAATTATTATCGTTGTTTATTTATAAAAATTATATCATATGGAACGATAATAATTTTTCAAAATGTCTTTTAAATTACTAACAACAAATATGAAAGACTAAGTGCAACGTTGTAACAAATTTCATTTCCGTCCAAGTTAAGAATGATATGACTCATCGAAAACTGCGCAAATGAACATAAACAGTGGCGTAATCATCCGTTATCAACCGACTCCAACCTTTTTTGAATTTGTAAACTGTCATTGCAACGGACAGTTGACATTGTGCTCTGGAGGAAACAATTTGTATCACTCTTGCTACGGATATAATTTGTATTCTGGAATTTTTTGCATACCTTTTTAATATGTATTTAAAATTGCGGCTCGCGAAAAATTTTAAATTTTGAAAAATGGCTCGGACTATCAAGGAGCTTGGCCACCCTGGTAATATACTATACTAATAATGTATTTTTTAAATATTTTTCGGTTATCCGACCAACCCCAGTCCCCAATTGAGTCGGATAATAGATGCTCTACTGTATATTATATCCAACAATAAATAACAAATATGTGTAGTCTTCAACCAATATCCGGTGTGAAAATTCCAAACTAATATTGGCAAACGCTTTCGATGCCCCTCCTGGGCTCTTGCGAAAGAGTTTGCCAATATTAGTTTGGAATTTTCACGCCGGATATTGGTTGAAGACTACACATATTTGTTGTATATGACCCGGTGTGGGAGAAATCCTTGATCAACAATAAATATTTTGAAAATTTATAATTAACAAAATGAGAAACACAATAACTTTATACATACAAAATAAACTAAGACATTGCATGATTTTATTGTATTGCAATAGAATTGAGGTGAAGCCAAAAAGAAAGAAGCATCTTTGCACCCGCCAATTATGGGAGAGGCTATCCTTGTACTGGCCAGCACACAGAGATGATCCTTGCCCTTACTGACACTGACAGATGATCCAAGAACAAAGCATCGATGGCAATGCCCACCAGTGGCAATGTGGATAAAATCACTGAACACTAGTAGTTGATTGTGATATTGTACCAACAGGCTGGCTATGTGGAGTTTTACAGGTTTTATTCACATTAAATAGGAGACCAATTTCCCATAAAAGACTTCCCGAGAGGTAATCTTTGGCAGATTGTCCATTGCTGTATACAAATAAAACAAACTAAAAGGAATTGATGCAAATTGCTTTGGTCTTGTGCTCAGTTTTTTGTGTCTATTTTCTGTTAGGTGCATTCAATGCTATTTTTTTATTTGATCCCTAAATTCTTTTAGGTGTGCTAAAGGAGCACAGACATTGTCACTTTGACCCCACTTTATTTCGATAATGAAATCATGGACCCGTTTTCTACATTTACATTTATTTCATTTCTAGATTCATCACCATAATCAATAGAAATTGCAAAGTTTTATCAAAATCAGCCCATCAAATTTTGAGAACAAAGTCAATTCTATAAATCACACATTCTGTGTGATTTATAGAACATCATGTTGCTAACACATCGTTAGCAACATTCAGACATTGTGCAACAAAGTCGGATGATTTGCACAATATCACTTTGTCACACACACTTGTGAAACGACCTTATATCTCAAAAATGAAGTCATGGATCTCCATTTTTTATTACATTTTTGGATTCCTGATCACAATTAATGAAAAGGCAAAGTTTAATCAAAATCTATCAAACAGATTTTGAGAATGAACACAGTCCTGTAAGCCACAGAGAAGAGGCTTCGCTAATGCTTCACCTCAATTAACATATTTTATGACATATATAACACAGAATGGCCAAACCTTGTCACAACATGAGCCATATATCACTTATCAAAACTGTGTGTGAGCAGAACAGTTTTATATACATTCAGTGATACCCCGAACTTACGCGATAGGTAGGACCAAGCAATAACCGCATAAGTCAGGGTATAAGTTCACAATTTGTGTAAAATCCAAGTTGGAGATATGCAAGCTAATAAATGTTCTCGTTAATCTTATCTTGTCTTTTAATTTATTCACGGTTACAAGAAATCACCACATAGAGTCTCTCAAGTCTCCGTAGATATAAAGTACACAGAAATAAACACCACAAAATAAAATGTAGTTGTTATGCGTCGATTCCGCATGACACGTTCGAACACGTAAGCTGAACAATAGTGTGGGGGAGTGAGTAATCGAGAGTAGCCTGGCGCTCAAACAAAAGACGACATTTGAAAATTGCATAACTCCGAGTTCCCGTAAGTTGGGGTAGCGTAAGTCGAGCTATTACTGTATACATAAAACTTAAGTTTATAAAAAGAAATTGTATAAGTAGGATGTGTGGGAGCCACAGTAAAGGTCTAGAAGAGCTTGCAAGCCACAGTTTTGCCACTGTGGACATACAAGATATCCTTTTTTTTTTTAACTGCATCTTATATTTGAAGTTGCAAATCTCCCACAGGCTAACAAATTCCCCAAATGGCCTTCAGCACGCTAAAGATAATCTCTACCTAGCCCAACTCTAATTAAACTACACTTTTATTTAAAAAACATTATTTGCTATAGCTAAACAGCACTTGCAAGATGAGAACCCAGGCTAATATTTTTTGTAATTTCAACAATTGTAATTATTTAACTTTTGCTTGAAAAAAGAAAAAATTATACTTAAACTCAACTTAATAAATTCAACAAAGGAAATTCACAAGGTTTTCCCACCCCAATAACACTTCCATTGTGGATGACACATTCCAATAAAAACTACTGTCAAAGGAAGTGTTACAAAAAGTTGGGGATTGGACTAACCACCAGCTCCATGCATAACCTTACCAAATATGGTCATCAGAATAGCAGATGGGAATAACCCAAAGTAAAAATAGAGGGGAAGGAAGATCAAAAGAGGGTTTGTCTGCTTGTTTTGAAGTGTGTGCTCATCCTGACGATCTTCTGGATTTCCCACCATTTACTGGACTTTCGCCATTCTGAACTAATATTGTGGACTATTCAGGACATATCATACCCAAGCCTTCCCCTCTTCTGGACGTCCAATCAAACATTACAAATCCATGTATTTATCAACTCGCTTACATGGTTGTAAACACACACACACACTGATTGGCACACATAACAGTTTAGGCTCTCCCTCTATATTTTTCTTTGTAAATTTATATTTAATTAAAGAATAAATATTTGTTGTTTTATGGTTAAATGTCTAGTGGAGTGCATTATTTCTGGCACACTGTCTCTCAGCTCCTTCATCCCGGACCCGCTTATTCCCTGATACACGCCCACTCACATGACTATAATTATCCCGAAGGTTCTTCAGGAAGGCTCCTGTGCACCTAGAGTCACAGGTGACGTCAGTCCTAACTTGGGCATTGCCAACATAATGGTCATACAAGTATTCACGATTGTAAGTGTGTATTTAATTGTGACTTCTTTCAAACTCCTTTTCCCCTGATAAATAAAAGCAGGCATTCTAGTTTTACTGTTTTAACCAGAATACGGTAAAAACATTTCAGGGCCGAGTGCCAAAGATGCAGGAAGGCTTAAATATGCTAAATACTTTTCTCTTAAATATTCTGTGTAGAAACGAGTTTGTGTCTTATATGCTATAAAATACAGTAATGAAATATTTTGAAGATACTTTTAAATATTTTCAATAAACGACTTATGGAAGTAAACATGTTGGCTTCTTTTATATTGAAAATTTAAAGTGGAAAAAAATATTTTTAATTGATATAATTCATCAAATAACATATTTAAAATAACGTGTTCATATTTAATTATCAATATATACAAACGATATATACTGTACACACATTAATGTTAATATTATACTGCAAAAATAAGACCTATATATGAGAATAAATAAATAAAACAATTCTTTCTTAGAATATAACAACAAAAGATAAAAACAAATTATATAAATTCAGAGTGTCAAATAAATAGAGTTCAGAACAAGGATTATAAACAAACAACATTGAACAACTTACTAATTTAAATTTAGGAACTGAATAAGAATAGATTTGGAATAAGTACATAACATTCCAGCAGAGGCTGCTTAATCATCATTAATATTTAAACAATGTATATTACTGTAATCTGTTAGTAACTATTTTACTAAATGCCACTTCCATTAATCATGTTGTTATTTTATAGATTTGTTTTACATGAAAATCTCTGATGTAATATAAATTAAAATAACCAGTCGAAAATTTTTATGCACTTAATTCTGCTTCTGTTTAGTAAAAATGAAGTAATTAATAAAATGCTTGCATCCATTAAAATAAAAGAAATTAAAATGCAAGAAGAACGCACTCTTAATATAAACTGATTAGCAAATGTAATGTAGTAAATATTTTTAAAATAATAAAATTTTTGTAATGTGTTTATTTCTTTACAAAAATTTTGAACTGAAAATGCTGAATTGCTCTTTGTAAATTTTAAACAAACAAAAAGGTGTTAGTTCTGGCAGCATTTGTGTGACTTTTGGCAGATATTTAAAGTATTAAATAAAAGAATACAATTTAAGTTACTGGTATTATCTGTCCTCCCTTCAATGATTATGCTCTAAATACAGTTGACCCCCCCATAACACTGTTGATAATTCTGTTTTATATGAATTCCAAGTTGTACGAGTCACTTAGATTTTACAAATACGTGAGCCGTTTACAGCCAAGCACATGTATTTGTAAAATGGAATTCATATAACATGGAATTATCAAGTGTTATAGGGGGGGTCAACTGTATGTATATAGTTCATGTAAACACTATTAATACAAACACTAATAAATTGTTTCTAATATGCAGTTTATTCTTTATAAATTTATTCTCTCGACAATTGTCAACTTTTTTACTTTAAGTAGTCTAAAAAATTTAGATTTATTAATTTATCATTTAATTTAAACTTGTATATATATACAAAATTTTTTTAGTAAATTATGAAATACAGTCAGCATGTCAATCTCAAAAACATCTTTCTTAAGATTTTTAAATCTTGAAATTTATTTTTTCCCTTGCATTTTCAGTCTAAATTCAATGTATTTTCGATGTTTATCTCAAATAATTTTCTACCAAAATCTCTACATCTCAAATTATGGACTGAAGTGTCAATTACAATTTCAAAACTCGCAACTTTTTTGATAGTATAAGTTGTAGTTGAAAAACATCTCTTGCCATAAAATACATAGTTGCAATTAATACTGTTTTTCTCTGATTGGCTGTGAGTTTGGTTTGGTTTATTTGTTTATGGAAATACAACAAACACATGAGTGATCTTCCAAGGGGTAATGCCTCCTGGGAAGAGTTTCTATGTGAAACTAGTACCTATTTAGATGTTAAGAACATGAAGAAAACATGGAAAACTCTACATGGCTAGCTTGTTGGCAAGGCATGAACCTACAACAAACTATCAGTGTTCAGTGGTTTTATCCACTCAGTCACTGATTAGCTAAGGCTACAAGATTGGCTTGTCTTGTTGGATAAAGAAAGTCAGTCATTAGAAACTATTGACAAACTATTTCTGTTAAGATAGGTATAAATAAAATATTTTTGACATAATACAGATATATACTGTATTTGCTGTACTTTACTTTTGCTTACTATACTTCACTATTGTATTAATAAAATACCATACCTCCAATCGAACCTATTAATGTTTACTGTGTAGGAATCTCTATATCTCAAGACCTGCCTATCTCAAATTTTTTCCTTGTTCCCACGAGATTTGAGATAAACAAATTCAACTGTATTCATGATTTTTGACATTTAAAGTCTAAATTATATTATAATTTAATTAAAAAAATATCCTTACCACTTTTGATTTGTCACTTGGGATTGGAATGGCATCTTGAATGCCTTTTGTCTGCCTCAAATGATCCAAATATTGTCGAACTTTCTTTGCATGATTTTTTCCCTCGTAATGTGCACTAGCCTGTAAACTTCCATTCAGTTTCGCACAACACAATTCACAATAAAGAGGTTTTGTCATTTCTGAAGGAACTTTCAATTCGTCTAACTTTTGATTATTGGTTAACAAACTATTGCATGACTCATTTATAGTTCCGGTATCATTCTGAATGTTTAAAGAATTTGAGTCACTTCCCACTTTGTTAACGTTGTTGATTTTTTTCGTTTTCTTCAGTGCTCTTCTTCGAAAACGATTATTTGGAGGAAAGACATAGGGCGCGCAAGAATCGTGATACATATCTTTCACCCTCATTTCCTGTAATCCCTGAGGGAACACGGGTGGGGCATAAATTAATGGAGTAGGCAATAAATTTGGTTGTGCTGCAAGTGTAGATCCAAACATCTTGATTTAAAATATCTAGAAGTCAGTAAAAAAAAAACTATATTAAAATTTATCAAAATTATTATTTGGTTTTCATTACACTTTTCTTTCTCAAACTATAAACTATGACAAAAAAAAATTATTTTGTAATTTTTACTATTATTATATATAAAATTTGTGTTTTCATTCAATATTTGCCATATGTCAATTCAAATTGCTGATTAATGAAGAAATTAATGTTGATTAATGCCGACTAACATTTACAGTGCTGATCAGTGCTAATTAATTTAGAAAAGACAGATTTTATTGATCTATACTGTATAAAGTGGAAACATTCAAGTAGCAAGAAGAAGCATATTTCTTTATTTTTGGACTGTCTATTTACTTTTTTAATTCTGCTTAGAGTTCTATGTTCTATAAGTGGCAGTCAAATGAAAACGAGACAGATGGGAAAAAAGTAAGTAAACTGTTTATTATTTCAAAAGTAATCGCCATAACTATTAATATATTTATCCCACTGTGAGAAAAGATGGTCAATGCCTTCATGGAATAATGTTTGCAGTTGCCTATGGAACCATGATTGTACCCATCAAAACTTCTGCAGCATAATCGAAACAACCTTGGCAACATGTGGGCGGGCATTATCCTGCAATGGAATGATGCTGTCCGTCAACATTCCTGGGCATTTGGACTTGACGGCGCACTTCAAGTTTCGCTGGGAAGCCTTTAGACATCCTCCATACAGTCACACCCCAGGTGATTTTCACATTTTTGGGCCCTGAAGAAAGACATTCGTGGCTGTCAATTTGCTTCAAACAAAGAGATGTATGCCTGGGTACAAACATGGTTCCGTAGGCAACTGCAAACATTATTCCACAAAGGCATTGACCATCTTGTCTCACAGTGGGATGAATGTATTAACAGTTATGGCAATTACTTTTGAAATAATAAACAGTTTACTTACTTTTTTCCCATCTGTCTCATTTTCATTTAACTGCCCCTTATATAAAAACTGATAAATTTGACACTTCTAAATTAATTTCCATATTTAGTATATTCATATCCAGATATTTACTTCAATTATTAACTAACAATAATCTAAAACTGCTGTGGATGTATGTTCATTATTAATACACATTGTTGTGATATAATGCAATGTCTTGATAATAAATATATTCTTTCAAATAGACGTAATACATCCATGGTGACCAAATTGCAGCTCATGAGCCACATCTGGCTCCCATATATTTACTATAATTAAATATATGAAATACATATTCATTACATAAAATACAATTTCAATAGATAATGTGGCTCTTGTATTTCTAATAGGCAATATATGGATGTTGTTGTGACAAGGTTTGGCCAGTCATGCAATAGATGGATAGCAGGCTGAATCTTGCCCAAGCAGAAGTGCCATAATAAATTATTAAATTTTTACCATTCTTAAATTGAAAAGAAATCAATATTTATTTTATCTTAACATTATTTTTGAATAATTTTTTTTTAAAAAGCAATTTAAACTCAATTTGTGAAATCATTGATTCAAACAATAGATGGTAGTATAAACAGAATTAATTCAACCACGCCAACAGAAGTATAATACATTATTATAAATGAATTATAGACAACTACAGACCAATAGTCATAACTTGATAACAGAGATATTTGGAAAAAGTCATTTAAACAAGAATAAATAACTTTATACTGAAATATTATATCATCCCCGACATCAGTATGGCTTTAAAAAAAAGCTTCAACCATAGACACTGTTGCTCGCTATAAGCATAAAATAACAACTGATTTGTATAAATCTAATATTGTAGCATCTTTTTTATTGACTTATCTAAATCCTTTTATACTATTGAGCAGGATAATCTACAGATGAAACTGAATTTCATGTACAGAACAGTCAAGGGAAACCAAACCTGATTTTATAATTAACAAGGACTATCCTTTATTTAAAATTTGGTTCTCAGCAGAACATAGATTGACAACTGTAACTTATAGAGAATGGAAAAATAAACAAATACAAAATATGAACTGTTTGCGTGTTAAAAATATTTGCATGGGATGGACAGTCTATCAAAGTAAATATCAGGAACTGCTGTTGCTTCCTTGGCAATTGCATCTGCTTGCTCATTTTCTATTATGCCAATGTGCAATTGACCCATCTGAATTTAATGTTTATTGCAAAGTTTTTAATCATGTTCTTAATCTTGGAAGGCTATGTAGTTTTAGTCAATATATTCTTTGTGCACATCAATGGCACTACGACTATTGGTATTATTAATATTTTCAGCTGTAGCATTCAGCATGCACCACTATGACTTCAGATATAGCTAGCATTTTCACTTGAAATACAGAGCACTTGTCTAATCTGTATTTATCAGCTTGAATTTCTTTATTATTTTTTGTATACTACATAGGCAGCCACAACTCTGCCACTGATTTTCAAACCATCCATGTATTGGTACATCTGTATGAATTGTGTATCATCAGCTAAAACAAGCTTTATTCCTGCCCTTTTGTTACACCTAGACAGCTCTGAAGCTATTGGTTTTATTTTATACCTAGCTGCAGTGTAATGTTTCTTGCCAATGGTAATGATACTTCCTTAAGAGATGTATAGCTTTTTCTTTAAGCACAATGTCACTGTGTGCTTACTGTACCTGCAATTACCAGAAGGGCCTCTGTGGAAACCCAATCCCGAATGCCTTAGCTAGGCATAAAACAGCATTTCTTTGCATGTTATACAGATACTTTCTGATGGTTCCCTTTCAGGTGGCATGGCACCAGGTTGCTGTTGGCATAGCACCAGAATGCCATTAAACAGTTGAACTCAGTTATAACAAGCATTAGAGGACCAGCAAGATTTCTCATTATAACAATTATTCGTTATATCTGTGAAGAGCGGTGACATAACTAGGGGGAGAATGGGTAGCTGGTTTGGGCTCAAACATGTAGGAAGCATCTTGCAGGCAGCAAAATTTGCAGCTATGCCACTGATAAAAATTAAAAGATAGATTTCACTAGTTAATTCTAAATAAGTTGATTCAAGCTATAATATTTAATTTAATATTAAACAATTTATTTTTTCATAATTAAAGATAATACTAATTAATATGCCCGAATATCACAAACTCTATAGATTGGAGTTACTGCACATTACACCCTTCAGAACCCTTGTGTAACTCTAATATATCATGTATGTAGGAACGGACTAACGTTTTCGATCTTCCTCAGGGCAAGTTTTTCTTGGAAATTATAAATACATTTGTTTCGGATTCATAATTTCCAAGAAATACAATTTTCAATGAATAATAATTACACAGGCAATATACATATTAATACAATTAAAGACTAAAAATGTGTATTATTATTAGGGTTGACTTATCAGACTGACTGGAGAAAAATTTCTTTGGGGAAAATGCCAGTAAAAAATGGGGAATTTTCAATGAAAATGCAGGACTTTTATATCAAACAATTTATTTCTTATACATATATTTACTTCGAGATCATGCTTCAGAAAGCTTTTTATCTTTAGCACTGTTGCATACATCTATTGACAGGATTCCTTTGAATTTAACTTAATTAACAATTCTCTATTAATTTCACAGAATGCTTATTTCAATTTTTGTCCAAATCATGTCCATAAGAGAAAACTTTCTACAAAAGCATTATTAGCTGGAATACTCGGGCAAAATGACATGCCCACGGTCCAGACTACACTTACACGTAATTCACTTTCAATAAATATGTTTTTTATAAATTTCCTTAATAGCATCTTTTAAAAATATTTTGCAGAATTTTCACATCTTCACGTGTTGCGAGATTTCATTCGAAAATGCACGATAGTCTGCACAATGCAGGATAGTTGGCAACCCTAATTATTACAGTTATATTTTAATATGAATAATTTGTCTCAGGTTGAAGTTAAAGGATAAAAGATAACAGAAACAAATCATTTCGTAATGTGTGTTACTATTTTAAATTTTCTTTTTTCATTTTGTAATACATGACACCCTCCTAACTTTTCCTCAAATCACTCTCCCTCCTTTCTCCACCCATCTTTCTTATCTTTTAAGGCTACACCTTTGAGTAGCCTTTTCTTTCACATGTTTGTATGTAATACATGTTATCATTTTAAAGGAAAGAATTAATGTTATTATATCTGTTCAACATAACTGACTTATCAAATCATGTAAAAAGTTATTAATGAAAATACCAAGCTGTAAGGAAACCAAAAGGTATACTTTGGTTCTAAAACTAGTTACTTATGAATAATGTGTTCCGTAGTAAGAGATTTTAAGACAAATACAGTGTAATAACAAAAGAAAAAAATTTAAAATTTAAACTCTTAATTCAAAATTAATTCACACAAATTCATTTTTATTAAAAGTGAATTTATATCATGGATAAAATGTGATACTTGAAACGTCTTCTAACTCGTCTTTTTGTGGACAGTTACTGTGATACTTCATTTTGTTTAATAAAGTAGCAACATTTTACTTCAAAAAGCTATTTCATTTTCCATAAAAAAAAATACTCTCTTAACTTCTTTACGTTTTCTAGTGTTTTCTATTTTTTATATATTATTTATATCCAATTGTAAAAAAATAAAAAGTGAAAACTCTTCTAAATCATTTTCTTTGACAAAATAAAATAACAGCATTTTATCCTACTGAAAATAATCTGAACATTACAGAAAGATATTGGGTGTTTTTACCTTATACCAAAAATATCAATGAAATATAAACAACACTAGATGTCAAATACTGTTACAAAAAGCTTAGCTACACAACCGTCTATTGGCATTATAGAAAAGGATTTATTTTGCAAGTACTTTTGACAGTACCTGTCCCAGTGCCATGCAGTAGATTTTCGAAATGCTGCCCCTTATGGTGCCGTCTGATGCAGCTGAATCTATCATAGCACGGCACAGCCCTGACCTATCCTCTTCAGGCAATATCATTCAGAGAATAACATTTGAACTCTGAACATTTTTTCAAAATTGTTTCTTGTGCATAAGCATAGAACTTAAATGACAGATATGAAAATTACAAAATTATACAGTATTATAAAAAATAACCATGATATGTAAAGGACTAACACTAATAAAAGTTACTGAACTAAAATACCAAAATATATAAATACACAGCAGCACCATTCATGATTCAAGATGTTTTATCACAAATATCTCGCACTAAAAAAATTATGCACAAACCCATTCAATACATGTCAACCTACTGTAATTGTATTGGCTGAATAGACAAGGGAAAATAGATGACAAATCATAAAAGAATTTTACTTTTTTTACAACACTAACAAGTTAAATTCCTTGATGTTGATCTTTATATGCCTTGGTATGCAATATAAAGATTGACACCAAAACAGCTCTGTATAAACTATATAGAAATTATAACACTGGAAATGATAAATTACCTCACTTCACTGCCTGTAACCGGTGTTCTTCCTCTCCAATACGAAGGACTTTGCAAACGTTTTCTAACCTAATTTGGTTCTTCTTCAGGCGCTACGGAATTCGCTATATGAATTTGAATTTCCAGTCTAGAATTAACCGTTATTTGGAAAATCTTTCTGGAACGTTGTCACGTGTTACCGAAAGTCTACAATTACGACATCGGTAACACGTGACAACGTTCCAGAAAGATTTTCCAAACAACGGTTAATTCTAGACTGGAAATTCGAATTCATATAGCGAATTCCGTAGCGCCTGAAGAAAAACCAAATTAGGTTCGAAAACGTTTGTAAAGTCCTTCGTATTGGAGAGGAAGAACACCGGTTACAGGCAGTGAAGTGAGGTAATTTACAGCTCTGTATATTAAGAGCTTTAGTCATCAATGGTATCAAATCCTGGCAAATCATAATCTTAAGATACATTTCAGGTTTGATACAATATGTTAATGAATGATATAACTAAATTATTGGAATAATCTAATGTTAGGTTACCAACAACCCCAATTTCCAGGCACTGTCCCTGGTTTTGTCCGTTGTTAATGTTTAATTGTATAATCAATTTCCAAATAAAGCAGTTTTATTGATATGGATATATAATATCACCAATTTATAAATCAATAAATAAAATAATTTTAAAAATAACTAATGTTCAATCAGTTTTAGACCTTATTTTCACTGATTCTAAAACATGTTTCCAATTAGATTGTAAATGATATGGTCTGCCTTATCTAATGAATTTATTGGAATGGCAAGCATTTTATCCAGGTGACTCAAAGCAAATGCACGGCAAAATGACCACCGACCTGCACAAATGCAGAGCAGTCGAGAAGTATTCCCTCAACCACTAACAGTGGTTACATTCTGGTATGCATCAGTCTCAGCCACAACTGACGCACAGGTGAACAGGTTAATAAGCTTTTACTGGAATGTCTGGCAATCAAACAAGATGGCAGAAGCAAACAGTGCTACATTGGTAGTTGCAGACTTATTTTGTCAAAATAACTTGGGTTAATACTGATAGGTAGTAAAACTAGTGTTAATATAACCACGACTAGTTGGTTGGAGTTGGTGGCACAAGGGCTAGGCACACCACAGAGCACCAGGTCTTTTAGGTCGTAACACGTATGTTCTAGAGTTCTGTATATAGATTTATTGCCTTCAGATATACCACTGTACATTGAATTTATCCATTATCATCATCTAGTCCGTAGAGATCGGCCTTCTGAAGCCATAAGTCTGTTGTCAGAGGTATCGTTCTCCGGCCGTTTTACACCGAGGGCACGTTATTAATATACATCGGATATTAAGTGGGGTTTGGCACGTCGAACATATCAAACAGGTATCCTTTGTTAACAGATAGTTATAACCACAGAAACAGCAATACGGCACCATCAGAGCTCATCTTATCCAAAGCTCGACAGCTTTCGATAAGGTGAAGATTACAAGACGCATCAGTCACCGACAGAATAACTTACAAATATCCAAATACATTTAGTACACTGTGATTCGCCAATGCACTATTTGACGCATACTGGGATTACCTAACATCCCGGATATGCTAATAGTCTCAACAGATGCATAAATAGTAAATTAAACGAAGGAAGGAACTTTCACTGCAACACAGTTTCGGATTTTTGTTAAAAATTGACCTTTAATATCAAAATTTTGTTAAAATGGACAGAGATTTACACCACGGATGAGAGAGAATGTTCTCGGAGATACAAAAATTAATCATCAATAATGAAATATGTAATATAAAATGTAAATTTTAACACAGGGTATTCAGAATGACAAATTTTATTAACAATTTCAGGACTTGAAATTGGACAAAACACTTAAAAAATTCATTCATGTGTATGCAAATATGCAACTCTACAATGAACTTATGCAAATCAGAATTAAAATCCAAAAACATCTGAATTTTAAATTAATAAATACAAGTTAATTACATCATAAAGATAAATTTTATTTATTTTTATTTTATAAATTTATTATATTTTAAATTTTAAAAGGTAGAAAAACTCGTTAAAATGAATTTTATGACAAATTATTGAATTCATAAATCATCAACATCCCTCAATTATTTTATTACCGAATTTAACGCTATGAGATAAAAATTAAAATTTTAATTTAAATCAAGTAAATTTTTATTAGTATTTTTATTTAAAAATTAAATAATTTTAATATAAAAGATTGAAATAATTCTAACCTGTAAATAGGGTTATTCCAGTGTTATATGAATAGTGAATATACCAGTGAATAACTTAATTTTATAATTTTTTAATGGAAAAATATTTATCAAGCGCTAGAATTTATAAATAAAAAAATATTAATTAATAAAAATAAATTTGTTACCTACATTTTTTTTTAGTAACTAACGAGTTCTCTTCGTTCAAAATTCTATTTTCTAACTATAGANCTTGAATTTCTGGCTCGAATTTTCCGATTGACATTCTGAATATTCCAATCCTCAATTTGAAAAGATTGTACACCTATGAATTCCCACTGTCGTCCGTCCTTGATCAGTATTTATTTCTACATTTCGAAAAATATCACAAAATCGTCTCCGTCTTCAGAAATTACGTTTAAAATATGGCTCGGTAGAGGTCGAGATTAAGCAAAAATTTCCCGTGATTACTTTATTTATTTATTTTAATAATTAATTAATAATGCAATGTCTAAGAATAGTTTTATTTAGTAATTCATTATTAAAATAAAAATTGTATTTTTACGGACTTTCCGCTCTGTGGATACTAAGAACGCCTTTTTATCTTTCGTCAAGGCCGCCGAGTTCTTAAAGGATCCTGAAGGTGGAGCGGGCATCTTTAATCTTCTGTTTTTTGAACAAATAAAATACATAAAATGTTTCTTTATTAATAAAAAAACAGCCTTAAATATTTTATTTTCTGTCAATAAAGATAGAGTATAGGCCCCGTAAGTTTAATTCGGGTTCGGGAAAAATCTCTAGCTTTCTTTCTCCACGATCCTTCTTATCGTGGTTCAAGCTTACTACGGATGGCCAGATAATGAGCGACGAGGCCCGACAAACAGTCTGTGAAAATTCCTGGGATTATTCACCCAGATTCGATCCAGAATGGTGGTTTGGAGCCATAACCGCCTGGCCATCTAGCCGTCACTAACAAGTAAGAGAGCCTTTATATCAAGCGATCGTGGATTTGGCCAGGCCCACAATGGCGGCCGGGTGGTAAAGGACGAGGCTCGATATATCCACGGGACTGTAAAAAATACTATAGAAAATCATGAGGATCTCGACCCAAACTCAAACCCGGGTCCTCCAGAGCAGCAAACTGCCTAAAATCTAAATGAAGCATGGATAAAAAAAATTGAGGAATCTGGGACAGGCTCACTAAAAGCAGCGACACTATACAAAAGTGTGATAAACTAAAAAGAATAAAAATGGGGTGACATCCCTATAGAAGTCTGAATCCCGTCCTGTACTGACAGTGGTGATATTCGAAATATTCAACAAAGGGTTCGCTAACAGAAAAGTTTTCCTTAAAGCCCCAAGCCCGATATATCTCGGGCAAGTTACATAGCGTTACATAAAACTCGGGCGTTTGAACCCTCTAAATTTTTTTTTTAATTTTTGAAATGTATTTTAAGTCTCCAAATTTTTTTCCCGCGCGAAAGAATTTTATCGCGATTTTAATTTATCTTTAATGACGCACGATTCACGCTTAATTGCTTTTTAATTGTTTTTTAATGAGAGTTTGATATCAAATTTTATTAATCGTTCTAAAGTTGTAGTGCACAAATTTTTCTTCGGTAAAGTTATTTAAAGCTAGTTTCTAATGTCAAAAACGACCTCCGATAGTTTTAAAATTTTTTTAATTAATATATTTTATTATATAGTCTATAAGTTTAATTAAGTCGGGGGGGGGCGAAAATCGCAATAAAAATTTTAATTTTTTAAAAATATACGGCCAGCTAGTATTCACCCTACTATAAACCCATCGCCTCCCGAGACTTCTGAGAGAATGTCCCGGGAAATCCAACTCCAGCTGTGTTCAAGGTCATCCAGCTGTGTAAACAATGACTCATCAGCGTCAGATTTCGCAGAAAGGCGAAACAATGGAAAATAAAATCTGAAGCTTTCTCTTCAAAATTAACGCATTTCTTTCGTTTTTTTCAGTTTTAAGTATATTTTTTATGTTTAATTACATTAATATCAAAAATTGCTAGAGTCCCGAGGGGTTAACTGCTTTCCCTGTGACTTTTTCTCAAGAAAAAACTTTTCTAAATCATTTATTTTATCATTAGGTATTATTATAATAATAGACAGATGTCATCGTTTCTCGAAATACAATATCTTTTTTATTTCGCTGTCGATAGCCCGACACGTGTTCCGCAGCCATCTTGTATTTTCTCGCGCGCGTGGGATTGTGGGATCTCTCGTATGACTGGACCTAGTTTCAAGAACTCTCTTGAGTCGATCGCGATTAAATCTCGTTTCAGTCGAGATTGAAACGGTCGATGGAGGTTGCACCATGGCGAACGGGGTATAAGGCTCTAGTTTAGTAGTGTTACAGAGTATAATACGTATATTTTAATATATTTTTTAAAAGAAACAAAACCACTGAGAAATGTTACGTGTGTTTAACAACGGGTTCGGAAAACTTTGAAAATGTTAACAACGGGTTCGGCCGAACCTGTGCGAACCCGCTGAATATCACCACTGTGTACTGACCATTCCAGCATTCTCTGGCAAGAGCAACGAATGGAGAATGACAATCCTAGGCTGGAATACCCTCCTGTTAGATTATTTGCATAATACATTCTTGATGCAATATTTTCTTTATGGGGGTTTGAGTTACCCAAACGAATTGTATTAGTAACTTAGATTGTATTATATGTGGTTGAGAGCGGAATTCGAGATAGGCCTACAACTATCTTCTCGTGGTAAATTCTGAGTGTTTCTTTGTAGAAAAAAACACAAACAGGCGTAGAGCTACGTAATATTAAAATTTCTTATTATTTTATATTATATGTTATAATATGCGTGCAATGATAGATAGATTGAGTAACCTGCTTGGATATCCCCAATCCTATAAAATCCTTCTCTCTTTGATGGATTTAGCGTTTGTTGTAAACATCGAAGAGGATTGTAACACATATTCTTAGACAGATATTTTAAAAGACGTAAGAAAAATGTATCCATATTTCTCTTTCGTACTGCTAACAGATTTTTTTGAAATATGAATCTGAGATCGAGTTCTAAAAAGTTTAAAATTATGCCGCTGCAGCAAACAGTGCCAATAGCCGGAATTGGTTTTGTGATATTTTCTGGTCAAAATTACCGGTACAAATTAAAATTACCGGTAACTACTATTAGTTAACGAGCATTTCTTCAATTCCACACACATCAAATACCGCATCTACTATAGTTATTTCTAAATAAAGGACGCTGTCGTCCATAACCAACCTTACGAAAACGTAAAGTCCCGCCTTCAATATCCCGAAAGAATTAAAGACTGGCTTAAAATAGGAATGGGAAGAAGGACAGGTTGAAAAAAGCCGAACGAAAAGGCTGACGCGTGGATAATCGGGAGTTCGGTGTATATTGTATTTGGTGTTAGAACATCTGTATCTTTACTCTAATTAATTCGCTTTCCTTCACACAATGTTCTGCATCGTCATTTTATAACAATTGCAACGATTACGTAATTTCAAACGATTTGTTCATTGGGTAGACTACGATCGACTGTCGTCCGTACAATGTTTTTTCGATTCTGTCAGTGTGAAACGGTCCGTACAAAAACACAGCACCCGTCACGTGCGTCTTACGTAAACAAATATTAGACATTAAGAATAACTTTTAAATTAGAATTAAGAGCTATACAGGTGAGTTTGTTTTGTGAGAATCGTGTGCGCTTAAATCAGTGACGTTATTCGTATATATTACTTTTCCGGTTGTTATATACAACAGAAAACAAGTATGGCTATCAATCAAATAAATGACCCTCCCCACATTTTTACATTTTTGGACTTAGGACACTGAAATGTCGAGAAATGGAAAAAATTAGGGGTATTTTTTCTGTATGTATGGATGTTAGTGTGTTTATGGGGGACACGATTTTGTTCGCCCCGTTTGAAACGTATTAAGATTTCGATTTACAGTATTTTACCCGATATTATTTCGCTTTTCGGAAAGATTCCTCGGTCGTCGTTGGGGTTGTACGTTTCGTATATTAATAATGCAACATGTAACTGGATAAAGTTAATATTTAAAAAAAAATAACCTTTATAATACGGCGGAATAAACATTAAGTCTGAGACAACGGAGAAACCGACACAGAGAATAAACAGATTGAGCCAGGAAGAAGCCACTGTTCTTTCTCCTTGAATTTCTGGCTCGAATTTTCCGATTGACATTCTGAATATTCCAATCCTCAATTTGAAAAGATTGTACACCTATGAATTCCCACTGTCGTCCGTCCGATGTCTGATTTTCAAGAACGAAGTCCGAGACCAGATGTAGAAACCTCAGGTACAGGAGGCCCCAATTAATTCTATATATAAACTTTCGTTTTTTCAATTCGAAACGTCCCCCCGAAATCAGTTAACACATGACCGGCACAACTCTATTAAGGAAAAATACGATGTACAGCCACTACTAATTTGAGGTGGAGAGCATATATTTTAAATTAAATGATTTAAAAATATGGTTAAAAATTGCAACCCGGCATTGTGACGATGTCACAGTAAACAATTGCTCGTAGTTATAGTTTATTTGTGAAAACTTTGGTTTCAACTCGTGAAAATATTTACAACGAATAACTACATTTTGACCTTGGTTATGTTATGAACTACAATATTGAAGTTAAAATCCTTCTATGAGGTAATAGGGAGTTAAGAAAGACGTGATAGATATTACTAATCTCACTATTGGAAGAAGAAACCTTTACTTATACCTTTTTATACACACTCCAGCCTGACGAAATAAAATCTGTCTCCTTGAGAAGTTAACTAACGTCCTTCTCCGGAAGGCTTGGTAGATTTCTAATCCTTCAAGTTGTTTCGGCCGAAGTACTATTTTCTCTCAATGGCGTCTTTTTCATTTCTAAGGAGTGAGGAAATTGTAGGGTTCTTCTAAAATCCTACAATTTTCTCACTCCTTAGAATTCTGCGTTTACTACATTGGACTATTTCCTTATAGATGGAACAGAGGGCCTAGTGGTACGATTACCACACAGTGTGATTAGGGTGGCCATCACCCAATGCCTAAAAAAGGAGGAAACTGTTGGGGAAAAACCTTCCGCGCACCCTGATTACCTGGGTCCCTGCTTTCCGGTTTTTTATACATACATGTATAAATAAAAAAACGGAAAAATAAATTTGGCGATGCCTATGAGACCGTCAAGCGAACTGGGAAAGACACGGCATCGGCACTCGGTCGAAGCAACTTGCAAAGAAGTCGTTTCTTCTTCTAGGGGATCAGCAACAGTCTGCTTCCAAATTTTAATAACTCCAACTTCCTCCATCTCGCCAGTCGCACATGCAACTCCCGTCCAGTTAAAACAAGTGGTGTGAACCATCTGGAAACGTTAACCAGCTTCCTCAATTCATTCAAAGTGACAATTGAATTATTTTTGTACACATTTTTCATCACATCCCAAAAAGGAGGACAAATCGATGTCCGGCGCAAGGTGATGCTGGATGGAGGACAGAGTAGTCAAATGCCTGACAATCCGGACATCTGGCCACCTTACGTATGATAAAACTCTCGGCTGAAATATTCGGAAAAAATAGATATCTACAAACTGTTCGGGATAAGGGCATATGAATATAGATTGTTCATTTACATGTTACTGTAGGCCTATTATTGTAACCTTCATTGTCACAAGAGGGCTTCAAGGCAGGAATTCGAACATGCTTTTGTCTGGGACAGTTGTATCCCAGAGGATAATTGTTAATTAACTACGTTTGTCTCTTGTGCTCTTTGTCGAAAATTTCTGAAATGTTGCAGGGAAGTTTATTAGGGGGTTTGATACTATTAAATTTTGCCGATTAAAGGTCGAGGGGGTAGGGAGATAAAGGGGCTGTGCGTATCTTAGTTCGGCTGGACTTAATGATTTTACTCGTTATTAGCATTCAACTTTTTATAAAACCCATCCCTATTTTCAAAATTAAGCTTTTTGCCATTTTGAGTTAAGAATATAAAAGTTTAATTGGGCAAATCAGTATAGCAGTTTCACAAATGGGAAGTCTTAGGCAAATGATCAACCATTTAATACATTCCCAATGAAAAAAAAAAAAACACCTACCTGGTCTTCCAAGAATACAGCAATTACGTTAATTACCATACCTTATACACGAATCAACTGGTATATCTACAAACTTCTGTCTGTAGAAAGTACCAGAACAAAAATGACAACTGTGTGTTCTGCAGCCTGTAAAGTCTGCATCAGTCATCATTGTGCAATATGCTTTTTGATAATTTATTTTAATTCATGAGCAATTTCAGTCACCTACCGTGTAAGGCAAATATTCTTGTTGCATGATGGCAGATTTGGATTTTGCAGACTGCAGAACACAAAATTCCTTCTCTATTGCAGAAGTTTATGATGCTTCCTATAGGCAGTAGGAAAGTAAATGATAGATGAAATTCAAACAGTACATTGTGTGTTTCTTGGGTAATAATTATGGTAACGATAGCATTCTTTTCGGAAGACCTCATATATTTAAAATTCTGTACTTGAATTACTTGTAAAATAAATTCACACAGACATTAAAAGCACATTTTTGCATTCCTAATTTAAGGAGAAAGAATTGTTCAGAGTTAAGACTTTTTATTCTCAGCCAGTGTTAAAAAATAAAGTTTTTACAATTCAATGCATATATATTACCTCATTTCAAAAAATGTTTTAAAAAACAATTTTTTTTGATTCAAAAACTCCACTTTTCAATAAATTTCCTTTTGATATTACATATTTACGAAGCCAGAATGCATTTTACATAAATTTTAATCATCAGATATTGCACAGGTTTATATAATATACAATTTGCATTTTTTTTAATTTTTTCTCCTACTATATCCTAAAGTTTAATTTCATCCAATATAACTTCTAGAATGACAAATTTTAGCAAGAACAATCTTTGTATAAAAAAAACTTTGAATTTATAAGAAAATACAAACCAACTCTACTTTGTTATGATCACAATTTGGCAAAAACAACAGATTCTTTAACACCGGAAAAGACGAGCTGACTTACACCAATTAAACCTCTTGAGATATTAATATATATATATATATATACTAAATGTAAAATATATAATTTATGAAAAATTTATTGTAAGTCAATCATCCATATTAAAAGTTAAACTCCTTTTATTTTAACATCCATAGTCACATTAGCAATAGCAACTAAATGCTACGCTGTACAAAAAAAGGAGAAGGGGACTCAATGGCAAGCACTACAATGCTCTTGGAACACAAACCTTAAAAAACGCACAATTTAAACATGAAATGATTTTTTCACAACCCATCAACAAACAAAATGCTTGCATTAATATCCAATTCTCCAGTTCCTATATGCTTTGGTTTCTCTGTTATGTAGCATTCTTACATGCGACTATTGCCTCTTCACCAACAGCTGCTAAGACTGTGACCTAAGGGAGAGGAGGGGAGAAAATTAAATTTACAGTCAATAATAAATCACATGAAAAGTTTTTGTAAGAAATAAATATTTGAACACTGTAAAAACGTGACAAATGATATATTTAAAAAGGCACAATTAAAAAAGAAAATTATCTACATATAAACATCTCAAAACCAGATTCATTAGTATTAAGCCACACCAACATTGTATAGCATTGGCTATTTTCTGATTCTTTTCTTTCAGGATATTTTAAAATTATTTAATTAAATTTAATACGAGGTGGTTCATAATGCCTCACTCTAGTGACAAATTAATTAGCTATTAAATTTATAACTGCCAGAAAATAGCCCATGCTATACAACAGTTGGTATGGCTTTATAATAAAAATTATGTACAATCCATTATGCAACAATTTGTTATTGTTCTTTTTACGAAAAGGCAACAAGAAACAAGAGAGTGACCTGCCAAAGAGGGATTTCCTCCCAGGATGACTTTATAAGAACTCCTCATTTTAGATGTTAGATACACAAGACTCCAAATATGCCACAGAGCCATCCAGGGAGGGCTGGTTCAGGGAGCAGTCTTTGGTGATTTTAACCAGTTAACTAGTTTGCCTTAATTCCCGGAAAAAAACAAAGAAACGTGGAAATTTACATTGTGGATGCTTGTCTTATCTTAAAAATTCCAACGTGTTCACCCAAAACTTGGAAAAGTAGTTTTTAAAATTGCTGTATAACGATTATAATGTAAATAACACTCATGTGGTCCAGTCTAAAATTGGTTTCACACATGTAAATGAAAAATCATTTTGTACTGTTAAAAATACATTAAAATTCTATTTTGTGTGAATTTTTTTCTATTAAATAAATATTGAATTTTGAGGAAAAGAATAAAGGAAACCTGTAAAATGTACTTGAACATCAATATGCAATCAAAACTAAAAATAAAATTAATATTTTTGAAGGGTGTATCTGCAAGGGGTTGTATCTGAAAATATATTTAAATTATACTAGAAGTATTATCTATATCAGATATACAAAGTAGGTTGTGTCACTTAGTTTACTTCCGTAAAAAAAAATTGATTTTTACAGGCACTGAGAAGGATTTAAGATCGCTTGCCAAAATTTCATTTTGAATTTTATGGGACAATAACCTTTTAATGACTAGAAGAACTAGTTTAATTTCATTTTGTATAATATTGTTTGCTATACATCTTAAATTTTCAATGGCAAGTTTTCTGCAAACACAAACAAACCAATTCTTTAACTGTTAGACTAGACCCCTCAAACATTAAATATATTAAATAATACATGAAACTTTCATTACTAAACTACTTACAATAACTGAAATATCATCTTTACTAAATTCTTCTTTTATTTTTTGTCCCAAATCTCCTTCGGGAAGCTTCAGATCGTCACGGGTATCTCCTTTGTCATTCATAAGTGAAACATAACTATCATCACTAATATCAATCAGCTATAAAAAACAAAATATATTTCAAATATACTAACAGGTCACCCATAAAAATGAGTTATGAATTAACTTTTTATTTAAACTTACCTGAAAATCACTTCGACTAACATTGGGAACATCTATATTATGAGTGGATGGGCACAAATCTTCATATTTTTTAGCTGTAAAGATATCTATTCCAACAAGATGAACCTGTAATATATGTCAATTTGTTAAAAAAAATCTAAAAGATTTTATTGAAAACTTCCTATTATAAAACCTTTAAGAAAATAAATTTTACATGTTAAAATTTTTTCTGTAGAATTCACTGAAGTGGTAATGCACACGAGCAATTTCTTTAATCATACTACATAATCTGGATATTAATTTTAATTAATTAAAAATACTACAGATGTCCTCCCATCACATCCTTTGAAATTCTAAAAACTTTCACCTACTTACAAATGGGAAGATTTGATTATTATAGAAGAAACAGGCTAAATGATTCTGTCGAGTTTAAGAAGGATTTTTAAATATTTATTCAAATGAGAAATTTATCAAAATCACAGAGCAGATTAATATAATAATTTTGAATTTGACATAGTGTGCTTGATTGATTATACTATAACCTAACATATTAAGATATTCTTCAAATACCAATACACAAATGATTTGAGTATCAAATTGAGAAAAGGATACCTGATATTACAATATTTGAACTCTAGAGTTCAAATGATAAACTACATTACTTCAATGATTGTGTGCAGTCAGATTTTTCAGTCATAGGTTTTTCTTCTACAAGGCTTTTAGAATTTGAAATGAAGTATATAAGGGGAACAAATACCATTGAAAGGATGATATACAACACAATTATCATCTAAATCAGTGTTTCTCAACGGGGGCGATATCGCCCCCCATGTGGGTGTTTTTCCACGTTGAGGGGGCAATTAGTAACAATTTATATTTTGGGGGACGAAAAACATTTTTCTGGGCGATATAGTAAAACATTATATTAAGAATAATTAGATATTTTATTCGTTATATCGTACAATAATTAAACAAATAACATTATACTAGTCACTAGTCTATTCAATGCAGTATGAATTTGGCATTAGCCTTGGCCCTCGGCATCGGAATTTTGAAGTGAACGGGGCGATGATTCGTTAGAGGTTGAGAAACACTGATCTAAATCAAAGAAAATACAGTGGAGAAAGAGCAAATAAATTGTTTTCATTTGATTACAAAGTCTGAGGAAAAAATTGCCATATTTACTTATATAACCCAGGTACTTTCCAAAAATTCTGAGTGACCGGTTTAATCAAAACAAAATTTTGTGACACAATCTGCAAATTGCAAGGTACTTAGTTACTAAATTTTTTGCTCATTTTGCAAGTGACAAATTTTGCTTATTAACCAAATGACTTTTTTAAATGTCATAACGTAATGATAGTCTATAGTCATTAGTTACAAAACAATAATAACGAACATTTTGGTGTAATTAATTTTGTGAAAATGAGGATAAACAAAGTTAAATGTACAATAGACTGACAATAAATCTTTATACCTGTATTACCCCTTGAGTTTAAGCTATTGACAAATTAGCAGTTTATCAGATTCAATTTGGATTAAACAATACAAGTCTTACTTTCATTTAATTAATAAGTTAAGGGTGTATATTCTAAAAATCTGCACAAATTTCAAATCCACTGTTTTAAAATAATAATTTAGACACACACAAATGTTCATATGAGATGATCAGGACTGCAATTCAACTTTAGTCTTAACTTGTTCCATTAAGGTCCATTTATACGCAACAGTGATGTGACTATGCTTTCGGTGAGTGGTCATGAACTTTTCTGAGGATGAACTGGCTATGATAGCTCTATGTTTGGATGAAGAAGAAAAAGAAATGCAATGAAGAAAGTGCCGCAAGTGGGTACATCAAGCATGGACAAAAAAGAACAGAATGGAGTTTCATATTCTTTATAAAAAATTAATAGATAACAAATATGTATTTTTTGAATGTCCTAACATACATTACATATTTTATTAAACAAAACAGAGAAATATTCATTTTGTACCCAATGTCCATGTATTTAGAATGAGATAAATTCCAAACGGTCCAACTTGGCAACTCTTATAAGAATATGGGTAGGGTCCAGGTCTGGCCAGAAGGCATCCTTGAGTGGCATAGAATTTCTTTAGGAAAGCTATGAGCCTCTTGTGAATGCACCTCATTGCCATACACCTCTTTAGTGATGAAAAGCCACAACAAGACAACAAAGCCCAAAAACGTCCCTTTGAACCGATTGAAAAGTCAAACCAGAAACTTTGGCAAAAACTTGGATTGTTTAAATTTGACTTCAGGATCCATATTTAGCCCTTCTTTGGTGAAATACTAATTGTTACCAAAACATTTACTTCTGTAAAAAGTGAAGAAGAACTCACCCTCCTTAACACATCAAGACTGTTGGTTGCCTTCAAGACTCCACCATGTAGTTGTTGCAGAAGGGCTTTTTTGAATAACAGGTTGCTTCACCATGTATTTCAGAATAGACTTTTATTTCTTGAGAGGTAGGTACTTGACATTCCTCCAAAACATGGCAGACATAACCATGTAAAATTTTGAACTTTCTTCAATTTTCTAAGCAATTGTTCAGCCTTTCCCAAGGCTTCTCTGTCCAATTGATTCCCATTCCCTTCAGTCATTTTTCTCCTCTTTCGACCACTTCCTGTTCTTCTGATTTCCATTCATTCTACCCTTGAAATGATGCTATACATCAGGGATGGCCAACACGTAGACCACGGTCGACCGCAAACGTTTTGAAAGTAGCCCGCGAAGCTAAAGTTGAACAATTTGCTTTCACTTAAATTAATGTTTAAAAATCTTAATTCGATAATTTATTCTTACAATAATAGACTGTCTGTGCAACATACCCATACTTTTTGTATTTATCCCAATGAACAATGCAAATAAATGTTAACGCATGTGCATATAAATGGCAATCGCATAAAAATCATGTGTCAGACAGTAACATGACATATTCATAGTTGCTTGCAGACTATATTTTACCGAAAAAGTAGCCCCTAAGGGATAAAAGTTTGGCCACACCTGCTATACGTCATGGAACTACCATGATGCAGTTATGCAGAGAAATGCATTTCTCATTTTCCCAATTTTCAGTGTAAAGTTACATTTACAATTACATTTCTTCAATTAAATTTATTTAACCCTTCCTTTTTTTTAAATGGAAGGTTATTTACATAAATTTTTTCAGTAAATGGATAAATATCATTCTAGAAAGAATGTATGTTGTCTTGTATGTATATGTAATTATTTGAAATTTACTGGAAAAGGCAATTAGATTTGTGCAGATTTTTAGGATACATGCCTATAATTCATTATAAAACAAATTTCTGCAGTTTCTAATAATTTATCTTTACAATATATACAAAATTTTATTTTCCTTTGTTGAATATTTAAAAAGTAATTAATTTTTGAAAAGAAACAATATTATAATAAAATATTTAAACTAACCAATGGAGTCAGATAAATTGTTTTTACCCAATTGTACTATTAACTAGTACACTTATTATGTTGGTGAAATGAAGAGGAAACTGAAAGTGAGGATGTTGAAACATCTGGCTGCAGTGAGGTTTAAAGTTAATACATCTCCAGTGTTCTTACATTGTCACGCAAATAATTTCTAAGTTGATATTAATAATGTAAAAATCTTAAATAGGGAAAAAAATATAGTAAAAAGAAAATTCAAAGAACACTTCGTGATCGTTATGCAAAATAATGTTATGAATTTAAATAATGGTGTGATACCTGCGGAATGCTGGGAAGAGTTGATAATACATAATAGCTGTAAATGTGATGGTACTTGTGCTAATGATGTGTCTTCTAATAGATAACCTGTAGAGGAGAAGGTGGTATTATGGAACCCCAATTACATTTTAGTGAATTGTAAACAAGGTATCATAACTACACCCACATTTTTTGTGCGAAAAGTACTGGTAACTAGTAAACTAAATGTTCCTAATTGGATTTTTCTCTAGTGTAATTATAAGTATGGTTTTTGAAGGCTTTTGTACAAAAAGTCCGAAAGTAGGCTTAGAGAAAATTGGGTGGTAATATGGAACCTTACTGTATATNTATCATCTAAAATAAAATGAGTTATTTAAAATATATTAAGAACTTATTTTACTTGACTATCAAAGACATAAATAAATTAAATAAATTTTGTATCATGTAATCTTTATTTCATGAACATTTTAACTGTTTAGATTTATATTCAAAGTATTTATGAAACAGATAGGCATTCTATTCTTTGAAATGATACAAAATGTATTTACCTGTAGTTGCACAGCCACGATAATGAATTGTAGTGCTTGTAGTAATAGGTATACATAATCCTTTTTGTAAAAAAGCACTCTGAATAATAATAAAAAAATTATAAATATAAATATTAATTTTTTATTTTAATATTTTTAATGAAAACTGATAAATTATTAATAAAATGCTATTATTTCTTGCTTTATCAGAGATGTTACAATTATGGTCCAACTAATAGTTTCTCCTAAGTTATACTCCTAATGAAGGGCCAAAAAGCTTGAAATTACTTGGAACTTATGAGAAACAACAATAAGATCTCTGATAAAGTGGAAAGTAATAATATTTCGAGACTAAAAAAAGTTAAGTTTTTGATTTATTTATTTCTTCTAAATAATTTTCAGCATTTTTTTTTATTTTATTTTATTTGCAGAAATATATAAAATTACATAAAATTCATTCCACTACAAATAAATTTAATCTGAATGAAAAAAGTAATTTAAATATAAGAACTAAAGGATGACAATTAACAATACAGTGGTACCTCAGGACACAAGCGCCCCAGCATACAAAATTTTCAAGATACGACATGAAATTTGAACATATTTTTGCTCCATGATACAAACAAAAACTCACCATACGACATTACATTAGTTCACAGAGCCATTTTTTATTCACTTCTATTCATCGGTCTCAATCCGCATGTTTGCTTTGTCGTGGAAGAATCTCGTTCGATAAAGGAAATCTTGAGGTATTATGAGAAAGTGACTGATTTTATTGAAAAGAAACATCCCAAAAAGGTTCACACTGGCCGTATTGCTGCTTGGAGTAATGACATTTGCCTAAAACATTTTAAAAAGTAGGCAAAGCCAAACATCTTTGGATAGAT